CCTGAAGCTGACTCATGCACCAGCAGCATGAGCATCACTGAAGTCCTTGGGCTTTGTGAGAAATGCAGAACTTCAGCCTTCATCCCAAACCAAAAGCATCAGAATGTGCATTTTACCAACATCCCCAATAGATTCCTGTGAACACTGAAGTGTGAGGGGGTGACTTTGATACACTGAACACAAACCATATTCCTTATTTCTTTAGTTCGTGCACTTGCTTATTGTCTGCTTCTTCAGTCCTGTAAACTCCTTAAGGTGGGGGCTTAGTTTATCTCTGTACTGTTGTATCCCAGTACTTAGCCACATCTCCACAGGGAGTTGGCAATCAATACATATTTGATAAATTAAACATTTATTCTGCCTTCCTCAATTGATCCATGAAGAAACTGAGGCTCAGAAAAGGTAAGTGATATTTCGAAGTTACATGGCTGTTCTGAACAAGGCCAGTGCAAAAAGAAAAGGAAGGAGGAAGGGAAGGGAGAAGGAAGGAAGGGAAGGAAGAAAGAAAGGAGGAAAGGAGGAAGAGAAAGTATTCTGAGTACTGCGTATGTGTGTTCTGGGCGATATAACAAAGCATGGCCTAAAATATCTTTAGCCATTGTCCCTGTATGGTCTTAACAATGATTACTTATTCATAATATACTTTGTCATTTACAGTCCACTTTCACACATACTTTCACTTAGGGTTCTGTGTGGAAATTTACCCAGACTTACTGTTGTAGGTTTTCTTTTATTAAGAACAGAGAAAATGGAAAATAGAACCAACAAGTTTGTGGAGTTTCTTTATTAACGGACCAAGAGATCACTGAAAAAGGAAAAAAAGAAAAAAGTAAACTTTCCCATGAGAGTAACCTTAAAAGAACCTGTTTAGTGGAGTGGACAGAACTCTTCGGTCAGATGGGAACTGTCTGGAAGTGGCTGAAATTCTTGGAGGATGTCAGAGGTAACCCAACGGTCTAACATGGATTTAACAGAAGTGATTCCTAATTTATTTTTATCTTCATTACTGGCCTTAACATTTAGTTCCACAGACATTTCTGCCTAATTAAAAAAGCTCCTTCTGTGGTTAAATTATGCTTGTCACTCAGTTTAAAGTTTAGCTGTTTCTAGCTCCTAATTGGCATGCCACAAATGAACCATAACATTGAACTTGGGGTTCTCTGACCCTGACATTCTCAGTTGGTTTGAAATACACCTTCTCTGGAGCCGGAGATGTGTACCACAGACTCTAAAACTATTTTTTTCTCCTACAAAAGGAAAAGACGTGCAGGGGAAATGGTTCTAATAGTAAGACTCAGCTGATGGACAATCTGTTTTCTAAGGATATGTTCAGACCATTGCTCTCAGACAAGAAGGGGACCTAAAATCTGCCAATCTCACCTGCCCCCAATACAATGTCCTGATATGTGGTCATCCATGTATTCTTTTTATTGTGATGTTATAGATAACATAAAATTTGTCATTAATACATAAAATAACCATTTTAAATGTACAATTCAGTGACAATAAGTACATTCATAAAGGTGCGCAAACATCACCACTACCCATTTCCAGAAATTTTGCATTGCCCCAAACAGAAACTCTACTCGTTAAATAATTCTCCATTCCCTCCTCTCCTCATTTACCTACTTTAGGCTCTTCATATAAGTGGAATGATACAATATTTATCATTCGTGTCCAGTTTATTTCACTTAGCACAGTATGTTTAAGGTTTAATCCATGTGATAGCATGTGTCAAAAATTTACGACTGAATGAAATTTCATAGGATGTACATACCACATTCTGTTTATTTATCTGTTGATGGACACTTGGCTGTTTTCACCTTTTGGCTACTGTGAATAATGCTCCTGTGAACATTGGTGTGTATGTATCTGTTCAAGTCCCTGCTTTCAATTTAATCTATGTTCAGCCTTTTGAGAAACCTCTAAACTGTTTTCCACAGCAGCTGCACCATTTTACATTCCCACCAGCAATCCACAAAGATGCCAATTTCTCCACACTTGTTATTTTTCATTTATGTTTTGTTTATATAGTAGCCTCCCTAATGGTATAAAGTGGTAACTCTTTGACATCAAGGCATTCTTTTAATTTTTCACTTTTTTAGATTTTATTTATTTATTTTTAGAGACAGGGGAAGGGAGGGAGAAAGATGTGAAGAGAAACATCCATCGGTTGCCTCTCACACACCCCAAACTAGGAACCTGGTCCACAACCCAGGCATGTGCCCTGACTGGGAATGGAACTGGTGACCTTTTGGTGCACAGGCTGGCACTTCATCCACTGAGCCTTGTCAGCCAAGGTGGTATCTAGGCATTCTTAGACACTTTCTGAGCTGGGAGCTCAAAACAGCACCAGGAAACTATTTCCTGTTATCCCTACTTGTCAGGAAGTCTTTATTAGCTTGTCTAAAGCTTGCCCTCCTCTGGCCATGATTGTCAACCTTGGTTGCAGTTAGAATCAATTCGGAACAATCCCAATATTAGGCTACAACCCAGGCTAATTAAATCAGCATCTTTGAGGGTGGGCCTCTAACATCAACATTTCTAAGGCTCCTTGGGTCATTTCAATATGCAGTCAAAGTTGAAAACCAACTCAGCTGGAAGCCTGCTCACTCCTCCCACTCCCTTACACCATCTGCAGTGCCTAAAGTGTGACACACCACACCTATCACTGGGCCTTCTCTGATCACCCTGGTGAAAAGTCATCATCCACCTCATACTGGCAATCCCATCCTGCTTTCCTCCTAGACTTTTTGCTATAACATGGATCACCAGCTGATGTTTGATATAAATTCTTTCTATCTATCCATTGTCTGCTCTTTGTTTTGCTTATTTCTCATTTCCTATGACATATAACAATGCCTGGTGCAGAGAAGGTGCTCAGAAAATATTGTTGAATGCATGCTTGCACAGATCTCTTATTTCATATGACAGTCCTTCAGATAGTTAAAAACAGCTTTTGTGTCTGGTACTGGGTCTTCGCTGGGTGAAATCTCCTTTGTGTCTTCAATCAGTTTTCAAAGACATTGAAGAATAAACTTGATTATTAGGAATACAATATGTCTTTCTTTCATTCAATAAGCAAATAATTGAGTACTTTCTAGGTACTTCACATGCCTCTGTGCTACAGATACTATAGAGTAGGCTGTGCCTGACACTGGGAATAGTGCTGGAAGAGGTAAGTAAAGTCTATCTGGGGGTTGGGGGTGGGGATGGGCACAGACAAGAATCAGTAGCAGAAGTCATTTCAGATAAAAATAAATGCTATAAAGGAAATGAAAAATGTGGGCTGTGACACATTAAGTGGGGGTTGGCTTTAATTTGAGACCCGAGGGACAGGAATAAGCATTCCAGGAAGAAGGCGCAGCTGATACAGAGACCTGGAGGACAAGTTTCAGAGGGGCTCTGAGTCGGAGCCTCAGAGAAGGATAAGGAAAAAGCCACTGTCACCACCTTGTTAGATGCTTTACCTCAGTTAACATGCCTAAGGTCAAATTAGTTTGGGGTAGCCACAACACCCTGTGAGGGCTTTTTTCTCATTAAATTAAATCTCCCCTGTCCAATATTTGTACTGTCAATAGTTGGGATTTAGTCTTGGGAGGGGGATTTACATTAACTTACCTCCAATTTCTTCTTATCTGAGCCCTAGCTAAACAGACCATCAATCAGTCAATGAATCAATCAATTAAGAAAAACACCTGTCAGCAAAGTGGAGGGACACTCCAGGTCTTCCATTGCTGTAACAGTGGTTCCTTATTCTAGTCGGCATCTAGTCCTTTGTGTCAGGCCTGGTGAGAAAAGTCTTGGACAGGCCAGAGCCAGGAAGTGCTGGGCTGCTGCCATTTGGGGTCAGCAGCCACATCTTGGTTTTCAGATGAAGGAGCTAAGTAAAGACAGATATTTCTTGATTCTTAGGACCCTGCGGGTCCAGTAGTGGGGCTCACAGGGCAGGCAGACTCTTACAGAGCCAAAATGCTCTGAGAACTTGGTTCCTCTTTCTGGGCCTCAGTTGCTTATATTGAAATGTGAGGTTTGAGGCTGAGAATTTTAAGATTTTTTGAAAGTTCATTTAAAAAGAACTTTTTATTACCATAATAGAAATAAGACATTTCCCCTGCTCCATAGCTTCTGAATAATCTGCAGGCATGCTTTTGTTGATAGAGGACACTCACTTCCAAGTTAATAAAACAAAATGATTTATACTAGGACAGAGGTATTTATAGAATCAGATCAGAGGCCAACATTGACAGGAACACAAATTTGAACTGTTACATTAGGCAACAAAAGAAATGTGGTTTTAGGGCAGCGAAATGAGTTCCTATGTTTATTGATTGGCTGCTGTCTTTCCAATGGACTTCACAGAATCTGAGGCCAGGTCAGCTATGTAAGGACAATCTGCAAGCCATGGCCTGTTCCCAAGACAGTTCACCTGTACACAGCAGCTTCTGCACAGACTGGGATGGGGTCCTGAAAACAGGGTGGCCTTTGTATTCATGCAGACCTGGTTCAATTACCACCATTCATCCATCCAATGCCACCTTTCCTTCATTCAGTAAGTGTGAATGACAAATTGGAATCGACTTTATCAACAGTTAAAACAGGAAGTCCCTGTATCATGGAGCTTACTAGGTGCATAGGTGCACAAAACAGGGATCAATGAAATACATCTCTGAGCACAAGTTGAGGAAGCACAAGCTGATGAAGCACTCTGAAGGGGAGCCACAAGGGCTCTGATGGAGAATAATGGTGCAATCTCAGGTAGTTCACTCATGTGTCTGAGCCTCCTCTTCCCTGTTATGTAAGACTCCACGAAGATATCATGTAAAGTGACAGGTGCACATAGTGGCATGTACTAGGTGCACAATAAATGTGTGTTTCAGCTGTAGAGGGTGAAGTTACCTTCCTGAAGATGAATGAAGGAAAGATGAATTTTCTTGCCGGCGTCTCTGGGTTTCCTTCAATTCTTTGTGTGTGTGTGTGTCTGTCTGTGTGTCTTCCAGTTCCAAGGAGGGTTTTAGGTCAGTGGAGAAGGTTGTACTGCTCACATTTCTCTCGGTGGTGATCCTGATGGCCATCTTGGGCAACCTTCTGGTGATGGTGGCTGTGTGCAGGGACCGGCAGCTCAGGTGAGTCGCATGAGGAAACCTGGGTGGTATTCTGGGCTCCCCGTGGAGAGTTGGGGTCTGAACTTCTAATATCCATTATAATTTGTGATTACAAAAGGGGGAAAATCCATGAGAACAATGCTTGGAAATAGAGCAAGGAAAAGAGATCAGACACAATCTCACAACTCCAACACGACCACCGTAAACACTTAAGTGCGTTTCCATCTTGTCTTTTTCCCTATGTTTAACTTGGCTGGGTTTTTTAGAAGTTGTGATCACTATATGTACATACCATATTTTGCCAGGTATAATGCACACTTTTCTGCCCAAATGTTTTGGAAGAAAATAAGGGTGCACATTATATGTGGGTAGTACTAATTCTGTATCTATATAAATGTTTTAAATTCTTTTATTTATGCTTATGTATTAAAAGTGTAACTCTAGAAAGCAGTATCAATATCTGTATATAAAATAATACCTTGGATCATGCTTATTGGTTTTGCTTCTAAATATAAATAAATAAACATTGAATTAAAAATAAAATGAAAGATATTTTTCCTGAAAGTTTGGGCCAAAAACGTGGGTGTGCATTATATATGGCAAAATATGGTATGTTGAGAGCACATCTAATCTAATTGCTCCACATTATCAGTTAGTTCAGAGAAGGAGTGGCCAGTTACTGACCGATCTAGGATTTAAACCTGGGTCTTTGGCTTCTCCTACTTCATCAGTCTGAACCCTCACTGCAATTAAAATCACCTGGAGACCTATTACAAACTGCTACTGTGTAGTATAAGTACGTCCTGTGCAATATTTGGGACATACTTATACTAAATAATTATTCATTATTAATCTGAAAGTTGAATTTAATGGGGTGTCCTACACTTTATCTGGTGGTTCTGGGGTGGAGGCATGTGTTAATCACCCCAAATTGCTGAACTAGTCGATGTGGGGTGAAACTTGGACACTGATGTTTATGAGAATTCACTGGGTGATTCCAGTGTGCAGCCTGGATGGAAAGCCACCAGGGCATGAAAGGGGATAGGAGATGCTGTCCTGTCTTATGTACTGCCTTCTTCTCTAAGCATGGCATGTGTTAATCCAGTAAGATGCAACAAAGCATAAAAGCACACTTCTGATTGGTGTCCCAAATGTGAGGCACATGGTGGTCAGTCCAAGAGCGGGAAAGAGTAGAGTTTGATGCCATTTGTGAGGGGCACGCCTTGGGAGTTTCCCTGAGAACGACTAGACTGAGGCCTGTGAGACTGGTGGGTGCAGTTAGGCTGATAGTAGGAAGAGAGAGCACCCTGTAGAGAGGCCCTGGGAGTCGCTCCATACACAGGGGTCTCAGATGAGGCCAGTGTGGCCACATGGGAGAGGAGGAGAGGGCTTTGGGTACATGAGGAGTGAGGAGTCTGGAGAATTTAGGAGTGGTTGGACCATGCAGGTTTTTCCAGCCATGTTGCAGAAGGGGAAACTGAATCTCACGGGATATATTACACATTTGACTTTCTTCTCTTTTTCCTCCCTCCCATCTTTTCTTCTTTCTTTGCTTTCCTTTCTACCTCTTTTCTTTCTTGCTCCTTTCTCCCAAACTTCCTTCCTTTGTCCTTCACCCCCCACCTCATCCTTGTACTTTTTCACTCACAGGAAAATAAAAACCAACTATTTCATTGTCTCTCTTGCCTTTGCGGATCTGCTGGTGTCTGTGCTGGTGATGCCCTTTGGTGCCATTGAGCTGGTCCAGGACATCTGGATTTATGGGGAGATGTTTTGCCTGGTCCGGACATCTCTAGACGTCCTTCTCACAACAGCATCCATTTTTCACCTGTGCTGCATTTCTCTGGACAGGTAAGGACAGAGCAACATGCCTAGCAGGGCTCTGGGTTAGAGACAATGGCCTGGTAACTATTGGGGTGTGTCTTTCTTTCCCAATTTGTTAGAAATGAGTTTTAGAGTCTTTAATCTGGTTGTTCACATACTTGTTCACTTTCCAGCCTTTGTGGAGGGCACTCTCAGAGGCCCTGTGGAGAGACAAAGTTTAGAAAGGCCTTGGCCTTGCCTGCAAGAGGCTTATAATGTAGTAGAGACAGGTGCCAGCCACTGGGTTTACTGTAGAGCTCACAATTGTACACTGGTGTCATGAATCAAGTTCTGAGGGGGCTGAGTACCAAGAATTAATACATCTGCCTGGTAGGCAGCAGAGGTGGTTCTATGTTTGAACATGACCTTCTCTTGAAATTGTGCTGTATCACAATTTTAGGTGTGTATTTAGGTATGTCCCGGCGACTATGGAGACTCTTTTCCAGGAAGTTAAAGATCATAACAAAATTCCCCAAAACCCAGGGCTAGCATTTCATTCTGTTGTATAATTTTGTTCTTTTTCTTCACATTTGGCTTCAGGAAGCCTAATGATTTTCATCTTCACCTCATCTGTGGAGATGTAGGTATTTTAGTTGTATCAGTACTTTTTGTTGACTAATTCCAGCTCTTGTGGATCTAAAAGTAAAGGAATAATGCAATTCAAAAGTCAGAGGATTACCCAAACATATGCAGCCAGCACTGCCATATCTTAGGGGTTGGTTCTCAAAGGAAAGTGTGGTGTGCAAATCACATTATCAGAATTACCAGGGACAATTTCTCACTGTCTCTTGAGAGTCCAACAGACCATTTTTTCCTCCTGTCTTGGGATAGGTGACTGTTTCTTTCATTGAGGAACAGGAAAATAGTTGACTAAAATCAAAGACTGTAGTATATATAAAATGTGTGCCATTCAACACTAAAATCTGAGTCTCCCAGAGAATTACTTGCACTCTGAGAAGTCCTTAGGGACTGAGTCCAGCTGGTGGAACAGCAGATCCATAGCTATCCCATGGGACAAGTGCTCAGTGATTGGAATGGCAGGCGTGACAGTCTAGGTTATATAAAGTGTGCTTGCTCTCCTCTTTCTCTCTCATTTTTCTCCCTCTGCCAAGAACTTGTAGTTGAATATGTTTAAGTTAAATGTATGTATAATGAGATTCCATCTATAACTAGAGATAATGACATTGATAAAACTGAACGGTTGGTTGACAGCTAGACCAGCTAAATAGTGTGTCACAGTTTGACATTTGTGTTTATTAGCTTGTTTATAATAATCTGATTTTATTATGTGAATGACTTCTTAAGACAGTTGGTATATACTGTGTGAAAGTTCACATCAGAAAAAAACACAAGGTAAAGAAGTAGAAAACACATAGACATCCTCCAGGGTAGCCTGCATGTGATCACTGCTCAAATGCACTTGGAGAAGGCAAAGCTGAGGGATCAGGGCAACTGGAGGTGGCCTCAAGATCTGGGCAGAAGCCAGGAGAAGAAAATGAGCCAGGTAGAGAGTGAAGAATGGAGGGAAGAGTAGAATCTCTTTCTGACGTAGAGTTCACTCCGGGCAGCTCTGACAGAAGGGCTAAGGTTTCCTACATAGATTTCACTTCAGAGTCCTATAGTAACTGTCAAGTACTTTTGAAATCATGAAATTTTTCCTGAGTTGTCACGAAGCAGTATGGGCTGGTCATTAAGAACCATCTGCTTCAGAACTCAAGATTTGGTTCAAATCCCAGATATGCCCATGTTTAGCTCTGAGATTGGTGATAAGTTTGTCAAGCCTTTCTGAGTCTCAGTTTTCTCATCTCTAAAAACGGGGGCAATGACACCTATGTTAGAGGGTTGCAGTTAGGATTAAGTTAGATAATGAGTTCAAGGCATAGCACTGGCCTAGCTGGCAGAGCACTCAATGTTAGTGGATGTCAATTTCAGTTTCTCTTAACAATCCATGAAACTCACCATCTTTCTTACCAAACTTGGACCTTCTTCTCAGTGAATAACTCTAGCAGCTGCATCATTCAGAAACTGGATAGTTATTCTTAATGTGCTTTTACTTTATCCCCTACATTTAAATAATAAGTCCCATTAGTTTTCCTTCCTAAACAGAACCCAGTCTGTTTCTCCCCATCTTATCCTAGCCCACACTAACACCATCTTCCACAGAAATCACTGCGGCAACCTCCTGATTGTTCCTCAACACCTATTTTATGCCTTTCCAAGACACTTGCCTCTCACTAGCTCTCACAGTCATCTTTGAAAAATGCAGCTCTGATCCTGTCTTTCCTTTGCTGAAAACTGTTCGGTGGCTACTCATTACATTGGGGATCAATACCAAAGTCCTTGGTCTGTAGGGTTTTGTGCTCTTCCCTACGTCCCAGCCTCATTTCATGCTTTTTGCCAGCCTTACTTTCTGGCTGCAGCTACCTTGCCTTCTTCTTCCCTTTTCAGTGCTCTGTGCTCAGCCATCTTGAGACGTGGCTCCTCTCTCTGCTTGGAAAGTTCATTTGCGCCCTCCTCTCCTGTATGCCTTTTAGACCTTAGCTCAATCCTCTCTGGCCTATAGAAGTCCTCTCTGATCCCATCAAATCCATTCTCCCTGGAGACCTTATCATTAAAACCACACTTAATTTTTCTTAAATGTCTCTGCTTCCCCCAATGGGAGAAAGCACAAGCATATGAATAAAGACAAGGTCCCTGCCATAATGGGACTTACCTCTTAATGGGGGAGATTGATATTAACCAGTAATTATGTAAGTACTGATTTAGGTATTTGGTAAACACTGTTGGACAACTGGAGTGTTCAGCATATTCTCTTTTTGAACAATGCTGCCAATAATTGCATTTTCTTCTTTGATAGTGGACATCAAACACTCCAATGCCAGGAGTAAAATGGAGTCAAATGGTTTTGTTTTTCTCTGTGAGCCTGGGTCACTTGCCAGTTGTTTCCCTGTCCCAAGAGTGGTATTTCATTGGGCTGGAAGGTCCACCCTGGACATTGCAGGGCAACAATTTTAGCCTAGTAGAGTATGATTCTATTTATCACCTAGCTTTGTTTTTGCTGTGTCCCTCCCGTGACAGGTGAGCTGGGCCAGACTGGGGCAAAGCACAGAGTAAATGTCTCAGTGAGGTGCAATGCCATCATTCTTCTTGGGACTCCTGGCAAGGTGTCTTGTCCTCCCCTCTAGAGCTGCCATGAATCTGCAGATATGACTCATAAGGGGTAGTGCCTGTTGAGCAAGAATGCTCCCTGTGATTCCTAATTCCACCCAGATGGCAGACCCCTAGATCAAAGCAGAACCTTATGAAATGAAACAACTTTTCCCCAATGGCCATTCTCCATCCACAGTATTCTGGGTGTTTTGAGAATTGAATCCTATCAATGAAAGCTATTGCCTCATTAAAAATAACTTCCAAAGCATAATTAAAACTCATGTATTCCATAGCATGGGTCATGAGAGGTCAAAACTGCATTAAAGCATAAAGTACCATTGCTTATTTTAATTTTATTTATTTATTTTAATATATTTCATTGATTATGCTATTACAGTTTTCCCATTTTCCCTCTTCACTTTCCTCCACCCTGCACACCCCCTCCCACCCACATTCCCCTCCTTTAGTTCATGTTCATGTGTCATACATATAAGTTCTTTGGCTTCTACATTTCTCATACTATTCTTACCTCCCCCTGTCTATTTTCTGCCTACCATATATGCTACTTATTCTCTATACCTTTTCCCCCTCTCTCCCCCTCCCACTCCCCTCTTGATAACCCTCCATGTGATGTCCATTTCTGTGGTTCTGGTCCTGTTCTAGTTATTTGCTTAGTTTATTTTTGTTTTTGTTTTAGGTGTGATTTTTAATAATTATGAGTTTGCTGTCATTTTACTATACATGTTTTTGTCTTCTTTTTCTAGATAAATCCTTTACTATTTCATATAATAAGGGCTTGGTGATGATGAACTCCTTGAACTTGACCTTATCTGAGAAGCACTTTATTTGCCCTTCCATTCTAAATGAAAGCTTTGTTGGATAGAGCAATCTTGGTTGTAAGTCCTTACCTTTCATGACTTGGAATACTTCTTTCCAGCCCCATCTTGCCTGTAAGGTTTCTTTTGAGAAATCAGCTGACAGTCTGATGGGAAGTCCTTTGTAGGTAACTCTCTCCTTTCATCTTGCTGCTTTTAAGATTCTCTCCTTATTTTTAATCTTGGGTAATGTAATTATGATGTGCCTTGGTGTGTTCCTCCTTGGGTCCAACTTCTTTGGGACTCTGTGAGCTTCCTGGACTTCCTGGAAGTTTATTTCCTTTGGCATATTGGGGAAGTTCTCCTTTATGATTTGTTCAAATAACTTTTGCACTTGTTGCTCTTCCTCTTCTCCTTCTGGTACCCCTATAATTTAAATGTTGGAACATTTAAAGATATCCAGGAGGTTCCTAAGCCTCTCCTCATTTGTTTGAACTCTTGTTTCTTCATTCTTTTCTAATTGGATGTTTCTTTCTTTCCTCTGGTCCACACCAATGATTTGAGTCCCAGTTTCCTTCCCATCACTATTGGTTCCCTGTACATTTTTCCTTTATTTTACTTAGTGTAGCCTTTATTTTTTCATATAATTTGTGACCAAATTCAACCAATTCTGTGAGCATCCTGATTACCAGTGTTTGAATTGTGCATCTGATAGGTTGGCTACCTCTTTGTTGCTTAGTTGTATTTTTTTTTCTGGAGCTTTGATCTGTTCTTTTGTTTGGACCTTTTTTTTTTTTTGTCTTGACATGCCTGTTACATAGGGAGGGGCAGAGTCTTAGGTGTTCACCTAGGTGGGGTAACACGCATGGCTGCATTGTGATGCTGTATGTAGGGTAGGGGTCCGAGAGGGAACAATGGCGCTTGCTCCATTCTCTGCCGGATTTCAGTCACTTCCCCTGCTTCTCCCAAGCAATTGGGCCCTTCTGGTGCTGATTCCTGTGTGGGAGGGTTTGTGTACATTCT